TCATGTTCGTGTGGGTTAATTGGGTAGGTTATACTACCGTTAGGTCATGCCACGATAGATAGGGGAATCAAGAGCCTGATGGGAAAGTATAGGTACCGAGTTAACACGATAGGTCATATCCATGTTGGAGGGCGGGTAGCTGTACTGCTGTAAGTCCTACACGTTCTTCCGGTGTGAATTAGGGGATAACGGGGAACCCTAAATAAAGTGTCATTAAACGCTTGCCTTTTTGCATGGAAAGATTTTGCGGGCCGGTGTAGAATCTTTTTTGAATGTTTTGTTTTTTGGAAAATCCCTCCATGTTGTACATATTTTTGCTATGATATACGGACTTTTTCTTTCGACATTTTGTATTTTATTTGATTCCAAATTGAGTTTTATCATTGTATATTGTTATTCTTTCTATATTTTGTACTTATATTGAAGTTTTTGTGTTTGCTTGGAACTGTACATATGTTGTTTAAATTTGATATAATATGGCTACCGCCACATTTTTGATTCAACATCGTGCAAGAATAGGAGTTCACCTAGAACCTCGGAACATTGATACTCGTCGGAGTAATTCTGAATTGGAAGACGTAATATTAGTTAGGTATTATTTGTATTTCCATTTGTTATTTGTAAATAGACCATTTTCCCCTAGAATTATTGTGTTTTAATTTCAAAATCGGGAAGTGCGTCCAACCTACGTCTATTGGAATCGAAATGAACTGTCACGATGGAGAATTCAACTACATGTACTCCCTCATCTTTTCGTTCACCATCCCTTCCTTTACGCTTGATAGTATTGGTAGTTATGCGACAGGTCTGTAACAGACTGGGTCCTTCGTATCCTTTGGAGATTAGAGAAAGAGTCCCTTGTTTTCGTTCGGCCGGCAGTTGGTGTGACTCCAGTAAATGCCGGAACAGGTCACACATCCTTTACATATCTGCATATTATTCCAAGACGATATGGCGAATATTGTCACAACCTGGTAACTTTCCTTAATACTATGTAAGGAGTAATGCAGATATTACCTAGGCCGTCAACTAGAATTGGGTTTGCGAAGTACTCTGAAAATGTGGATGCCTGGTTTAAATTATCATTGAAGTTTGTGTTGCAGATCTCAGCCATTTTTAGGTTGGTGAAATCTTCCCCATTTGGACCTTTAAGAGAACAAAAACCCTGATTCGTATGTTCTCTTTTTGTCATGAACCTAAACAAATGCTTAGGGTTTGCCTGTAATTGGACAACCAGCTTCATCTGAAAGCCTCTCCAATAACTTCAAAACAACAAATAACAACATGTAAAAAAGGCATGTCAATTTACAGGCAAGATCAAAATGTTAAGACTGCTAACAGTTACTGAAATATTTCACAAGATACGTTGGCTTCATATAGATGGTCTGCAATGTACAATGCGAATAATTGGTACGATTTAAAACGGTCGCGTTACGACGAACTAATAATGACTGCAAAACAATGCAAGGTAGAGTCAGGACTGCATTAAACAAGAATGGAGGTGAGTGTGCTAAGATCTGGTCGATATTATTAATTGAATAAATTTGCAGGCTCCTAGGTAAATTAGAAAAGTCTTCAGCAAATATCTAAACGAATATTTAAGAATTGTAATAAGGTGCTGAAAAAGAGAAATAAAGAGAATGAGGCGAGGAGCAGAACAGAAAACATTCATGTTTAAATGCGAACAATGACCCAGCAGATAGTTTTTAAAAATAGAACGCAAAATGTACACCTGCACTTACTTAGGTTAATGAAGATAATTCACTAGTAATATAAGTAATGGGCAATTAATTGCATGAATAGAGGAAATTTAGAATAACCAAACTGCTAGCAATAATGCTGATTTACAGTATATATTATTGAGTCACAATTATCTGATGCTTTTGTGATATTTTATTTATTTTTTTTCTTTTTAACTTAGTAGCTAGAGAAGTCAAGTGTGAGCTCTTTTTATCAGTATAATTGTCCAGATCTGCTAGTTGTAGGATTTCTTGATGGGAAATTCAAATCAAATCTTACATTAGGGTCCTTTACATTATTTCAAGCACACTAACCCTAAACTTCTGAAAATTTTGACTTTCGATGACAATAATACACAGATATAAACTGCAGATTTATGAGCAAATAAATAAAAAGTATGATAGTGATTTTATACAGCATAATATATAAGATATCGTATTAAACAGCTTAGACCCATGCTCCCTAGCCAGTAAGTAAAAGTGGTTCTGTTGAAGTTGTAGCAAACGGAGACTACTTATAGCGAGTAAAGAAGTGAAATTCTGTTTAGGCCAAAAATCAAAGGTGCACCTGTTATTATTGATTGATAATCTCATGATGTCGAAAAGATATTGAGATATTGTAACAAGCACAGACAAAAACCACCGAGGCAACCGAGCAACGTTAGCAACATTTTAAGTGTGTAAGTAATGGATTTTACTACAGTTAAACGAATTGAGGATAATAAAACAGTGATTAATACAATTGGATATAATAATAAATGTTTCCGTTTTACCAATTGAATTCTCTTCGTAAAAGTGATAGGTTTTTTTGCAGTCGTTCCAAATATTCTGGATAATAACCTTTTTTCAAATACTGGAAGACTTTCTGTTTGTGTATATAATGATAATAGGTCGTAATAGTCTGTTATTTTGTTCTAATGAAAACGCGAAAATCACTTGCCAAATAATTCGGATAGTAGAGTTATTGACTATTGTGCGTTCTTAACAATATCTCGTTTTCTGATATTGGAAGTTCTATTCGGTTCACATCACATCACATCCGGCTTTTTACTTCAACTTCTCTTCTATCCACTTGACACTATCTACAACTCTTCCTTTCCAATCGCTGCACACCTTCGTTTGTGGGTTATATTCTTATATTCCTATAATTTACTTTATTTTAGTGGTCAGTATGACTCACCACTGTACTGGCTACTTCAACATTACAGGTTAAGTAGTGCTTTGGTTATATATATACACTTGCCACTCTGCTACCTTTTTTTCTCTCTCTCTTTTCTCCCTTTTCAGAACCCTATTCACAGTGTAAAATCCATAGCGCCTCTAATAGACATGCGCTCTATGTACATGCGTGTCTGGATCACAGCTTGTATCAAGCACGTTCCAATTGACCTTTTTCAACAAATTCACTATTGATCTAAGCCAACTACCCAAGAAACCTACTGTGCACTGTCTCTATTTGTACTCCCTTATTGAAATTGTGGCTGTATCATACAGTTTCTGTCAGTGACATGGTGCAAATGTGCTATCAGAAAATGACTCTTATACTTAATTCAATTGAGATACCTTTTGTAGTAAGTGTGTTAGCATTTGTAACAATTTGATCTAGTCTGTAAACTGGCATGCCCCTTGTAAGTTACTGTTATTTGAGAATAAATATCATTATTATCTATTACTGTTGATTAATACTCCCATTGGTTTACAAATGTCTCCTGCCCTAGTTGACTCACGAACTCTGAGGATAGGTGCAAGTAACGAGGAAGATCTTACCAAAGGAAACATTATGCAAGTCCAACAAGATGAGTTTGTGAACACTGGGGATAGAGTAGAATGCCCGAACGGACAAATCGGGAGTTTCCTGGAAACCTAACTAGAAGAAATGTTTTGTCATACGTAGCATTAATCTTTGACGCCGTGGGTAGTATGTGGGAACGCATTATAAAACCAATAAGAAGAAATTCACAACCGGAAGACTCAGTGTTGGTAAACAATATTGGCCCACCGAGAAATATATAGCCGAAAGCTATAGTTAGACAGGTCAATTGCACAGACGGCCGAGCTAGAACAGTTCGACTGAAGACAGCAACCGAAGAGATTAGCCGGGATATACGGAAACTGTGCCTACTGGAAGAGGCCGATTATCTGAGCGCAAAGGTAACGAGACTAGACGTGGTATCCGCATGGGTGGGGAATGTCAGTTATTTCCATAACTAACCAATAACATAGTTACTTAAGCGCTCACCACGTGATCTGGTCTGACGTGTCCGTAAACAATCTTTGTTGTAAGTGACCTACTAATTGAAGGACATTATTCCCTTATTATATTGGTGTGATTCACAGTTTTATTCATTTCCGTAAGACACGCCATAATGGTCAGTACGTTTGCTCGTTTCACTTGGTAACTTTAATTTCCTTATTTATTGCGCTAATCTAATTGTTTTTTTGTTTAAAAACAGATAAAGTTTGAAATCAAGTTGTCTTCGTTCTAACTATAGCTTTCACACAGACTCCGAGTTCGCCAATATTGCGTTCAAAGTCATAAAACTAGATTTATAGGACGAATTAAATCCTACAACGGCTTTATTCAGTAAGTATTGTCTGAGCTATCACTTCTCACTGGCTACTTTAAAATTTAGAGAAAGGTTTGTAAATAGAATCCGATTTGGCTTCAAAACTCAAAGGATTACAATGGACTTATTTCCGACAGTTCACAGTTTCAAGTAGTCCATATAATAGATGTTCTGAACCACACATAAAACGAAAACGCTTTCCTGCACCATATGTCAAAGGTTTAGAAAGATATGTGTGTCTTGAAACCTCATAGTAAGAAGTCTTCAGCTATATGTTTTTGGACTGTAGTAGCTCCCCAAGCGCTTCACACTTACGCGATTTATCCATCTTTTCACGGATTAATCCTGATTTCTACAGTCATTTCTTCACGTAACTGTCAGATTCGTGAATGATAGTATGAGTATGTCTAAATTCCTACTTTTTTACTTCATGTGAAAATGATGAGTCATGTAACCAACGCAAATTGAGTTGTTAAGTATGCAGTTAGCTAAGTTGGATATATTTCACTAATATCTTCCTCATCTGGTAATTGTGGAGTCAGACCAAGGTCAGCAAGGAAACCATGAAATCAATGCAGAAAAAAATTTGAACATTAGGAAGAGTGCCTTAGATCACTGAATCGTTATCCATTAGAGTCTTGGATACTTAGAGTTGGTTTTTAAATGATTAGCGACTTTTTAAATACTTCAGAGCAATTATAAAACACTCGAAACGACCATTTCCTGCTCAAACCATTGAGATCATACATAAAAATTAGAGGCACAGCATAATAGACCTAATTGAGGACAGATTCTATATTTTTCCAGAGTAATTGGGCCCATGAGGTTTCTCCTAGCTGAGGATGTTTGGGTCAAATCCAAAATATTCTCCATGAAGGTGTATTCTTAAGGATGCAGAGAAATATTCAATTATATTTTCACTCTTTATTACGAAATATATTCAGATTCCTTCATAAATGTAGCGAGAATCCAGTGCTTCTTGGTACGGAAATATTTTTAATGAAGGTTTGCTTCATTCCGTCTAAAGCGGTTAGGATTCTTCACCTTCTGCGATTTTTGTTTTTTCGCACAAATAATTCGTGATACGACCTTCACTGAGTCGATGCGTCTTTAAAGTTTGTTTTGACTACTGAGTACTGGTCATGCCTGTGTATCCTTCGTGGTCCTTTGTTCCATCTCTCTCAGAAATACAGCAGATAAAGCGTGATGAATTCGAACGTCGAAAAAAACTAAGAATTCTACAGGTAGTCTCCGTATATAATGGACTTTACATTAAGGTCCGAATGCAAGCCAAACAAAATGCTGCTAAACTTAGAATGTTATACAATGCTAAAAAACAGCAGTTAGCAGATATTATCGCAAAAGATCTTCAGGTAGCAATATCTTTTCTCATTTTCCAGATTAGGCACATCAGAGAAGATATGGAACTGCTTGAAGCAAAGAAGGATGAGTACTCCAACGTAATGAACCAAATCGGGATTGCTCATAGATATGCAGAAAATTGGGTAACCTTTTTTTGAGCTGTCTAGTATGGCTACATATAGATAATTTATTTCTCTTTACTAATGACGCTTTTCAAACTTTTTAATGAGCTGAGTTTTAAGCTATCATTGCTATTAATGACTATATTCAAAAGGAGTAGAGTTTTACTGACCTAACTCAAGCTTTAACCTATTGAGTGCCTCGTTTTTTCTTTGAATCGGGTTAGTTATACCAATTTAACCTAATTGTTAACATTCTAATTGGTGTGGAGTTCCAATGATGCTTGTTGTAGAGATTGCTAAACTTGTCTGTCCTTCCGGTAGTTTTTCCTAGTGAAAACGACTTCAATAAATAATCTGGTTGATCGGTCAGTCAGGAGAAGTAAATAGAGTAGACTGTTGCCCTACTGCTAATGTTCTCACTAGATCGATCCCCAAGTCCCAAGTGAGCGAACGTTTGAAAATAAGGAAATCTGTCAACTTTATAAGTGCGTACATATATACTTGCCAATTAATGTAACTATTTATAAATGATTCAGTGTGGTTACGGGCCAATTTTCGGTTTAAAAAATGAACGACTGAATAATAAAATAAAGCTGTGGACAGTTTCCCATTTACTCTCAGCCTCTGTCTTCGGCCACGGAGGAAGCTTCTTATTCACTAGTGTGGTGCAGTTGCTATTGCACAGTTCCAGAGCTTCTGGAAACGTCCTCGAGGAAAAGCCTTGTCAAATACTTTGCTGAAATTTATGAATATTACAACGACAGACAAGCCGTTATCTTGATCTACTGTCCAGTCTTCTCTCTCAGTTAGTAAGTTAGTTGAGCGTGAATGATTGTTCAAAAAGCAATGTTGCTCAGGAGTTAACAGATTGTATAGTTCTATATGAATTAGTAACTTGGTCCGAAGTTTCTTCTCAAGTAACTTAACAACTATTCTGGTTAGACTAACAAGTCCGTAGTTAAACACGTTTCGTCTCTTGTGATACCTGAATGTGGGGATGGTTATAGCGTTCTCCCAATCCTTGAGATGAGCCTGGGAATGTGACATGTTAAACAGCATCGTAAGCGGTTCTTCAAAGATATCCACGAGTAATGACAGTAATCATTGGTTTAACCCATCAGGACCCGGTGACTCACCAGGTTTGAGGTTCATGAGAGATTGACGAACAACTTGTTTAGTTACAGTTACTGGTTCTATAGCTTGTATCTCGGTAGCATGGTTATGAACAGTGCTGTTGACAATATCCGCGGATAGTATTTTTCTGAAATAGTTTGATAAATACTCATCCTTGGCCAAGTCTGACTCAGCTATTATATCTGAATTTTTGTGTAGTAAAAATAAAGGCATTCCATCATTATGTTTTGTTCTTCGTTTAGAAACTGATATGATTCTTTTGGGCAAGTACAGTTATAATATGCCAACTGTCTTTCACAAGTGGTGCGGCTTCCTGCTATAGCCTTTTTATATTTATTCCGAATTTTCCTGTATTTACATTTAAGAGATTAACTACTCGTTGACAAGGACAAGTCCCAGAAGTGTTTCCTATGCTGCAGCAGTCTCTAGGTTTCCCTATCAATCTATGGAGAGCAATGTGAGGGCTTACATGTAGAACATGGGATAAATGGGGATGTTATAGACTCGAATGTGGCTTGAAATTTTTCCCGTTAATCTTCGACTGACCCATCTAAATTGATCGATCAGTTTGTTGAGATAGCACGATCTTCGATTGCCGGGATGTTAGCCAACCAGGAATTGGACTGCATGATGCAGATAAATAATTTTTTAAACCTGAAATACAGTACTACATGGTCGCTCTTAGCTCGTGGGAGTAGGTACTGGATGTTTTTAATATCACTGTGGTGTGTAAAATCTTGATCCACTAGTTATGGTTAATGTTCCAAATCAATATATTTTGGTTTCGCGATACATCGCTCAAGTTTCATAAAACTATAAAGCATCACTTTCTGATCATTTTTAGGATGATCCTGCTTTAGAAATTAGCCGGAATTTGTCTGTAGCCCATGCACAAGCTAAAGATCGATTTCATGTAGCTATGAATAAGCTACGCGAAGAAAATCTAAATAAAGCTCTTATACAACATGAAATTCAGGAACGGATTAAAGAAGTTAGAAATGCTGAGAAAAAACGTGCTGCTTTAATTGCTTCTCTACCACCACCCAAGGATATACTTGATGAAGAAAGTTTAAAAAAACCTAAACCGGGTATGAAATTCTTTGTAATTTTAATATTAATTGTTGGTTATTTTTGTGTGTGTGTGAAAATATTAGTAATATTTTAATTTTTATTTGTAATATAAAAGCTCAATTATTATTATAATTGACTTATAATACTGATATTTTACTACCACTTGGAAAATACATCTATTTATTTAGGGATGCAATTTTTCACATTTCATATTTACAAATTGATTAGCTGTACTTACTGTTAGTTTATATTACTTTTTACACATTTGAAATCATCAATCAATCATTGTTAGACCACCATTAGAAACCTGGAAGCACTGGATGGCCGTTTCGTCCTGGTATGGGACTCATCAGCAGTGCGCATCCACGACTCCTGCTCCTCGCGGGATTCGAACCCCCAGACCTTCGATATTGTGCGTGAACGCTTTACCATTGGACCACTGGGCCGGCATCCAACGGTGTTAATGTTTAACTCTGATTGATCTACGGATTTTTGCGTGACCTCACCCATTTGTCTTTGGTAGTTACTGCCTACACCCGACAGGGTTGAACTCCATTGGTCACGTCTTCTCAACTAGAACTCCGAGAATTTCCTCACTGCCGATGAGTCCTATACCAGGACGAAACGGCCGTCTAGCGCTTCTAGGTTTCTAATGGTGGTCTAACAATGATTGATTGATGATTTCAAATGTGTAAAAACACAAACCTCCAAAACTCTGCCCCAAAATATATTACTTTTGTCAAAAATTGATCAAAGATGTACAGACTGATTTCGCTTCCAGTGTTTTACTAAATTATCAAGTATAATTTATACATTACTACTAGAATCTTAGTCTTAGTTTTTGTAAAACAGTTTTATATGACGAGTGATAAATAGATCAATTTGAGATCTTTCAAGACCAGTTAATGTACAAATTAATCCATCATATAATATAAGTTTGAGATTCTACGCAGCTAATACTAGATACTGAAACGTATCTAGATGGCATAACTTGACTACTAAATAATAGGTTTAATACGCTGAATGTTTGGTTGAGTAAATAGTTCACTATATTAGAACACATGGTTCACATAACTTAGTTATCCGAGTAATAAATAAGAACCAAATTTTCGGCTGGGACTCAAGAATATCAAGCCGTCAACATAATGGAATCATTTTTCTCATATAAAATAATCTCTTTTATTTAGTATGGCTGAATGAGTTCGTCTTCATTCGTCAGCCAATTCATCTTAGTTTCTCGGACATATGACTTTATTATCGTGGCTTATGTGATTACGATTTAGTATGGAAGTTCATTTGTGGAAATGTCAAGTTTCTTACATTAGTTCACTGTAGCCGATATCTTAGAGGATACTAAATTGTTGAACTTTTGCTTTGAAGAGATTAGTCTTCTTTTCGGTTTTCATTTCAAACTCAAAACCTCTGACCTTGATGCTAACCTTCAGACAATATTACAAACTTACTCAAAATCTACATGGTTTAGTCTAGTGTATTTATGGCTAATAAAAGCTGGTTTTAATTTTTTTATAGGATGTGTAAGCTGGTTATAGGAACTGCATGACTGCTGGTCGTAAGTGGCTGTTGCTTTAATAAAGCTTCGTTAGAACATCGCTACAATGTTGAACTAAATGAATAATAGAGTGTCTGTCAGTAATTCAGTTACAACGTAGAAATTCTTACTTACGTAAATCAGTTCAAGTTGCCGTACCACATTAGCACATAGGCGCAGTTATCAATTCAAATCCCATAGTAGTAGATATAGTAGTAGTATTAGCGGCAAAAGTTAAGATTAGGGTTCCAAGACATTCTTCGAGAAGTATAACCTAGTGAAATAAACTTAAAAAGAGAAAGATAATAGTGAAGAAGAATCCAGAGGATTTGGATTTGAGAGAAGCCAAATAATGGATGCATCTACGCCATTGCAAACGGTTGTGAGCCATGTCGTTCAGATTCTCTAACCATCAATTACTATCATCTCGCGAGCCGCAACCTTGTAGTCTTCACTTACCAGTAGTAGTCAGTGTTTTCATGGATTTGTGCCATGTTTTGGTTTAGCCGCACCTAGATTTATTCCAACCTACTCCTACACCACAAAACATAGCTCGACCAGTTAAATTTATTTAATTTTATTTTCATAGTTAAAACGGAACTCATGTTCTCATTTGATCTGCACTTCCTTTACAGTGTGGGACGAAAAATTTAAGTATTAGCATTATTGAGGTTGAGTTTAAGGTTTCAACTGAGGAACGTCAAAAAGCTTGGTGTAGTTGAGAAATATGCTACATATTCACAATGTCTATCTTGATCTACCATTTTAGTTTGACACTTAATGGTCAGTCAGTCAGTCAGTTGCAACGTAGAACTTCGTACGTATGTACATAAGTTCATGTTGCCATACCACATTATTAGCACAGAGACGCAAATGTCAAATCAAATCCCATGGTGATAAAGATGGTAGAGGTATTAATGTTATAATAAAGAAGACTAGGGTTTAAGATATTATTCAAAAAAATATAATTCAGTGAGATAAGGTTAGAAAGACAAAGGTAGAGGTGCTGGCTAATCCAGAAGATTAGGATTTGAGAGAGCTCAAAGAGTGGATGCACCTGCGCCATTGCAAACGATTTTGAGCCATGTCGTTCAAGGTCTCTAACCATTGATGACTTTCGTCTCGCGGACCCCAACCAGGTAGTCTACATCTACCAACATGACTCAGTCCACTTGTCAGAGACTTCATGGATTTCTGCCATGTTTTGGTCTGGCCGCCCCTAGCTTTCTTCCAACCTACTCCTACACCACAAAACATAGCTCGTCGAGGCAGTCGGTGGTTAGGCATACGTAACACATGTCCCAACCACCTCAACTGATGAAGTTTCACCACTTCATCGATTGATCTGCCATCCTTACCTAGTACTCGTTTCCTAACGACAGCATTGCTTACTCGGCTGTCCCACGATATACGAGCAATGCTTCTTAAACATCTATGATCGAATACTAGTAACCTACGAACATCTTCTACTCTCACTGGCCATGTTTCACAGCCATATAAGAGAACGGAACGAACTGCTGCGCAGTACACCCGCCCTTTGGTTAGCGAACGGATATCACGCCTACGCCATAAGTGACGCAGGTTGGCAAAAGCCAATCGAGCCTTCTGTATCCGAGCTGAGATTTCGTCAGTCACCAGACCGTCAGCACTGATGAGACTCCCCAGATAAGTGAAGTGATCTACACGCTCGACTACTTCACTCCCTATCACTAGTTCAGGTGCCGAAGCAACTCAGTCTTGAAGCAACATTTTGCATTTCGAGGGGGAAAACCGCATCCCGAACATGCTCGCATTGTTGCTTATGGTAGTCAGAAGACTCTGCATTTTGTCAGCGTCTTCAATTAATAGAACTATGTCATCGGCATATTCTAGATCAGTAAGCGACTTTCCTGGTAGAAGGTCAACCCCTGAAAAATCTGACGAGCTTAATGTTAACTCTAAGAGGATGTCTACGACAAAGTTGAACAAGAATGGAGAGAGTGGACAGCCCTGACGGACACCACTTGATGTAGAGAATTCAGATGACAGTTCGCCATATGCTCTCACCCGACCAGTGGTGTTCGAGTAGAGTGCTTGTATGAGGTTAATGTACTTCTTTGGTACACCTTTCAATGACAGACACTGCCACAGAACCTCACGATCCACTGAGTCGAATGCCGCCTTAAGGTCCAGGAACACGACTATTGTCGGACGTCTAAATGTGTGTCTGTGTTCCAGGACCTGTCGTAATGTGAAGATGTGGTCTATACAACCACGTCCAGGTCGAAAACCAGCCTGCTTTTCTCGAGTCTGCTCTTCGCGAGCTCTAGTTAGACGTCTAAGTATAATCGAGGCTAACAATTTAGAAACTATATTAGTTAAACTTATTCCCCTGTGATTGTCACAAGAGGACTTCTGTCCTTTCTTGTAGATTGGGACAATTAGCGACTGAGACCAGTCAGATGGGATTACGTCCATTTCCCAGATTCTACCTAGGATCTCGGTCAGTTTAACCGTTAAAACTGGACCACCATCCTTAAACATCTCAGGGGTAAGCCTATCGGGACCTGCCGCTCTACCTCTCCTTAGATTTCCTATAGCTTTCTCAACTTCATGTAAACTGGGAGGACTTAATTCGATTTGCCATTCAGGATGACTGGAGATCGTGGGCAACCGAAGAGTGGCTGAAGGCCAGTTGAACTGATCCCTAAAGTGTTCTGCCCATCGGTCCAGCCTCCTAGATTGAGAATGGATAATAAGACCATCCTTTTCCGAGATAGTCTCACTTACATTCGGGTTCCTAATACCGGTTTCTTTGATAAGGCGGAAAAGTTGTCTAGTGTTGCCTATCGCCGCTGCCTTTTCCATCGCTTTTGCTTTCTCCACCCACCACTGTTCACGGTCGTTACGTAGGCTTTTTATAAGTCTGCGCCTAAGTTGAGTACGCTCTTCATCATGTTCAGAGTCAGGTGGGATGCGTTTTCGTGCATCCATCAGTTCGGTGGATGCGACTGAAATCCACGGCTTCATCCTAGCCTTATGGTTTACCTTGCTAGCAGATATCACTGCTGTTTCCACAGCCTTCTTGATATCATTCCAACCTGACTCCGGATGGGAATCACTTGCATGATCGCCCAACTGCTTTTCTAGTTCCTCCTGAAATATTTTCTTAGCTTGATTATCATCAAGTAAAGCCCTAAGAGGCTTCCTTACGGTGTCTTTCCTACGTCCAGCAAGCCTCAAACAAATACGTGCTCGCACTAGGGCATGATCTGAATCTAAACATGTGCCCCAGAACGAGCGACAGTCCTCTATCGAACCCCTCCATCGGTGGCTGATGGCGATATGATCTAGTTGTGTCCAACGTTGAGACGACTTCGGGGGTCGCCAGGTTAAAAGGTGTTTTTCCTTATGCTTAAAATTAGTGTTTGCTAGAAATAGTTGGTTATCTGAGCACAGTTGCAACAGACGGTCGCCATTGTCTGTTCTTTGAGCCGCGAGACCGTAACTTCCACCTAGGTGTCTTTCATTTTCACTCAGTCTACCTACTTGTGCATTGAAGTCACCAGCCATTATAACTATATCAGAGCGCTTAACTTTTTGGAGGAGGTCCGAAAGCTTTCTGTAAAACTCATCTTTTACATCATCTGGGCTGCAGTCAGTGGGGGCGTAGGCTGATATGACGAAGAGGCAACGGCGAGTGTCCCTATCTTTCCGAGTCCTTACTGTCCCGTTGAGTCGGACGGCGCACAAACGACTATCTACAGGGATCCAGTCAAGGAGAGATTGTTCTGCCCTACGACTCAATGCTATACCTACACCGGCGAGGCCCCTAGAAGCAGCATCAGGGCTACCGGATACACGAAGGGTAAATCGAGCTGCTTCTTTATCTTGACATGGTGAGGTCAAATGAGTGATGCTACTCGGATCCTGTATGCGCGTTTCCGAGACGCAGCACACATCGATGGAACGAGATTCTAAAGTCCTAGCTAATGACGCCTGTTGCCCTATTTGACACAATGTCCGTACATTGAATGCTCCAACATGTAGTCTAGAGCGGGGTTTAAGGAGACCAGGAACGACGTTTCGCAAACTCGCATCGTTTGCATTAGCTGTGCACTGTGATGAATGAATGTGAGAAGAGTTAGTTGTGGAGATAAGAGAGGTATTAGGGAATTTAGGAAGGATTTGATTTTGAAAAATTTTGTCTCGTGTGCTGTTGCGGGTATGAGGGCGGTTATCACTTCCCGGCTGCCCACACCGTGGAAGGTTGTTTCTTGACGAACCTGAAAAGGAAGATGGATTAGTGTTGGTGCGTGACCGCAGAGTCCAAGGGACAACTGCTTCAGGCCGGTCACGCACGGCCTTTTTATGAGAGGTATTTAGAGGATTAGCTCCGTTCTTAAAGGCCCTTAGTGGGCACCCTTACCCAAGGAGACGGAAATCCGTGAGGTAGGGGAGGTGTGACATTTTTAGGGCCGACCTTTTCTAACCCTTCCTTCCTTGTGAGAAGGCAGCATCGCTGCAGATGCTGGTTGTCCGAGGGAAACACCTTACTGCTGTCACACCCCTCTGCAGTCAGCAGTACGACTTCGCCCTCAGACCTTGGGCAGCTGCTTTTAGTCTCATCGTTCTCCAATCGACCTGCCTGGCATGGTAGGACCTGCAGGAACATGTGTTCCAGCCAGTATAGCTCGGTTGGGTCATCACGATAGGCAAGCCCGACCACCACGTCAAGGTAGCAGCTTCGGTCGGGACACTTAATGGGCCTTTTTAAAACTTTCGTTTGGAAAAGTGGTAACTATCTACTGAACTACCTCTTGTTACTTAAGGTAACAGAAAGCTGGTTATCTGTTATTCGCGATCCTTACAATCTCTGAACATTTCCTGTTATTTCACTTAGTGGGTAGCAGTGGAATAAGTAGTTCGTTTATATTGTTAAGAGGGGTAAGCATATATATTATCACCCTGGTTATTCATGTACTTGCTAATAATACTTCTGTACATTTTTAGGCATTTGTTCACCGGAATATCTGGTAGATTTCTCCTTTTCCAAATAAGTTTTTTCTGATACTTTTTCATACAGATGAGTCAAGTAGTTATTTTACCATTTAGCTAACTGATGTTTAACAACGTTTCACTATTTCTAATGAAATTTTCACCACTATGTTATAAAATACTTCTCTCTTTTTCATATCTCTATTATTAGCTGATGAAGCCTTAGTTCTTGTGTATGATCTTGAAGCTAGAAACACAATACATACACAGAATGTACCATCGAAAATAGTTGTAAAAAATGAAAAAGTCGATGACGAGAAAGAGATTGAACATAATAAACCTCAAAATGCTAATATTTCGGCATACGAAGAAGAACAACGTACACAAGCAGTTGAGCGTATAAATGCTCTTCGTGCTAGTGAAAACCTTATCAAAGCTGATGTGCGTGGACGTCAGGCAATGAAAAAGTAAGTCTAATCTACTGCATTCTGAACATGTTGGTAATACTGTGGTGCTGTGGTGCGAACTACTTATAAGTAGAATATAACGTGAGTGTCAACGTAAAGTCTGGTAGCATAATATGGGGGGAAGATCAAGAAAGGAAGAGTTAGAAAACAATGGAATTTGTATGAAACGCATGAATAGTGACAATCGATTGATGTTTGGCAACAGGAACAGTCCAGTTCCATAGGATGAACTGATCTTTTGCAAATGAACGATTTACGATATGGTTTTCCGATTTTACTGAGTAACTCTGTAATTTTCGTTAAATACAATTCGGTTGCCCCACCTGTGTTCTCATTCACTACAATACTACTAGTGATGTTAGCTTTTTTGCTGTTGATATTCCGGACTTAAGCGGAACAAAGTGCACTCCCTGGATTCCTGTGTTAGCCGAAATGCATATCAGATGATAATAGCTTCAATCCTAAAACCGAAGATTTTGCTGGTGATCTGTTGTATGAGTTTGCATATGTTCTTCAAATTACATTTATATTACTTATGATAATTTTATGCGTATATACATTTTAAACAGTATAAGAATTTATTTATAAACGCTACTGATTTAGTTTTTGTGTTGTAAATATATAGTGCTATAGTGTGATAAAGGAAAATGAGTAGAGTTAGTCGTGGAGATAAGAGAGGTATTAGGGGGTGTAGGAAGGATTTGATTTTGACCGATTCGGTCTCGCTTGCTGTTACTGGTATGAGGGTGGTTTTCACTTCTCGGCTACCCACACCGTGGTAGGTTGTTTTTTGAGAGACCTGAAAAGGAAGGTAGATTAGTGTCGGTCTTAGAGATCTGGGATCGTGACCGCAGAGTGGAAGGGATAACCGCTTGAGGCCGGTCACCACGGCCTTTTTATGAAAGGGCAGAAATGCATGAAGTCACTGACAAGTGGACTGACTGATGTTAGTAGATATAGGCTATCTGGTTGGGGTCCGCGAGACGAAAGTCACCAATGGTTAGAGACCTTGAATGACATGGCTCTGAATCGTTTGCAATGGCGCAGGTGCACCCACTCTTTATGTTCTCTGTAATTTCAACCTTCTGAATTCCTGATCACCTCTATCCTTCTCTCTCTAAGTTTATCTCACTGAATTACACATCTCAAATCTTCTCCATTACTGCTACTAATTCTACTATCGCTACCACTGTTGGATTTGAACTGACAATCGCGTCTCTGTTCTAATGTGGTATGGCAACCTGAACTGATGTACGTACGTACGAAGTTCTCCGCTGTAACTGACTGACGTCAGTTGATATGCTTGAAACTGTTATGAGTTCACACTACTCGGTAAGCGGAGCGCAGATCAATGATGCAGTGATACGATGGGCTATTCTAATCCTTCTTTCCGTGGCCTGGCTAAGCATATCAACAAGTATTGATAAGGCGTATAAAGTGTATTCTACAAACACCCAGAAAATACGGGGTTGACATGCACACAAATCGAGCTTATTTATACATGGTAGAAACGTCCTTGGGAGAGCCACAAAAACTAGCTTACTATCTTTGAATATTTTTTTTGACTGAACTGTTGACTGATGCTTATTTTTTATTTTGTTTATCTACGAACTAAATAATTGAGAATTTTTCTATTGTTTAAAACAAGATATTTTGTAGAGATAGTCTAGTAACCTCCTCGACTTTATACAACTGTGTAAAAAATAAAACATTTCTTAAGCCTTCATAATTGGCTTATTATTTTAAATTGACTGACAAAAGTTGAATTCGGAGTATTTCGTGCATTTCGTTATTGTAAGTTGACCTTGGACATTAGCAATTTAGAATTCGATCAGTTAAGAGGTTTTCCAACAGATTTTTATTTGATGAAAAGAATCAGACTGTACAGTTGATGAATTTGTATTTTTTTAGGTTTGATACGCTTTGCTTACTTCGTTATAGTAATTTCTCATGAGTAGACTTTGGGATAATTCTTAGGAAAAATGTTTTATCCAATAACTGTTCAATCACCTTCAGGTTAAAATTATTTCAGTGAGAAAAAATCTTTCAAGCTTGATTTATATATATTCTGTAACTGAATTCGCTTTTATGATTTTATTTTAGAGAACGTGTCCGTCAATATTATCGAGCTTTACTGGATCGTTTGGATGAAATCAAACGTAATGAGACTTTACTTCGTAGAAATCAATTATATTCCGGAAATGTTGAAAATTCTCATGTACCTATAAGTGGTCATTTGGATGATTCTGCTGTAAATCGTCGAATGGAAAAAGTTTTCGAGGTATTTATCACTTCTTTTTGAAAGTAGATCTTTTAACCGATATCTAGTATAAAATCCTTTCAACGATTTTAACACAACAACTCATAAAATGACGTGTAAAATCTTGAAATAAAAATTTGGGGTTTCCCTTAGAACGGTATGATCAAAAAAATAACGCAAGTTATAAGTATTTAAGTTAAAGATGACTGGTAGCTGGCCGTGGAGTCCAGAATACACATGTTGTCTTGTTTGAGACTATAGTCAGTTAGATCTGCCTGCACTCTATCGTTGACATTTATTTGAGGAATCGGACTTAGTAACTTTTACTTCGAATCTCCAAAGCGTTGTCTACTGAGTTGTACTACTAATCTATTCTGTCCAGATATGCAGTAACGTGTGGACGGATAAAGTGTTTATATCACTGCTAGTAGGAGTTTGAGTGATTTTGTTTATGATATTGTTGAGTGACTTTCGATCAGTGGATAACTAACTCATCAAGTATTTTTGCAGTGAATATTGTTGTGTCCGAGTTTTGATGTGAACATGGACATTGATATGAAGTTACAATGAGCTAGCTGCCAAGTTGAAGATGTGAGGAGTTGTGTATGTTGTTTTTCAGGGTTAGCCGTTATTGATCGTTCTTTATCATGTATGCTGCTTAAGATTGATTAAAATTCATTGTACACTATCAATATCGTGAAGATTCAAACACGTACGATTTACTAATGACAAGTAATCAGGTATGCAAACCAAAGATATCGTTTTCAGCGGTCAATAATGTTATCATATGCACAAAAAGCGAGAAAATATTTTAAAGATAATTTGATAAGATTGAAGCTCCAATGTTTGCCTTAAATTTGAGAACAACATTGTTAGAATATTCGATGAATATCCTAACAGAATTATTTGTAAGTCTAGTTCTATAGGTCAATCGATATTGGTCATCCTAACTACC